AATAAATAAATAAATAATAATAATAAAAATAATATTTTTGGGGTGTAAGCCAGTTCACCTCCTCGTGGTGCACCTTGGGTAATTCTAAATGAACTGGGACGCATTCAGGCTATGTAAAAAATATGACCTTTTTTTCTTGGGACGCACTCGGATGATACCTTACTCTGGACGCACTAGGAACATTAAAAAAGGGTCATTTCGGGACGCACTGGGGGAACCCCGACCTATAGAACCTATCAAACATATAATATGGTTTTCAAAAATGTATTTGTACAAGCCAAGTCTTAGAATGTGAAACTAGTTTGTTAAGGCCGTACCCAGAAGAGTGAAGACTTTATAGATTTGTTACTCAGGTTTGTAATCTATCTGCCATACATCAAAATAATAAATATACCAAAAAAAGTTTCTAAAGTAATAATAACAATAACAACAAATAACATGTAAGTAATAATAATTAATTTAGTAGATTTGTTTAATAAAAGTATAAAAGTGATAATAATAGAAAAAAATAGAAAAAAATATGGTTATGAAAGGTGATATAGGTAATGGTATAATATTAAGAGAATGTTATACCTGCATACATCTCTGTATTACAAATGCATAACATACCAAATTCTAAGTTCTGATATGTTTAATTTTAGAGTGAATTGACCCATAACAAATTAAGAAATAAGAATATTATCTAATTAATGACTGATTTTTTTGGAAATTTTAAAGTATGTTATGAGAATTTTAAATAAATAAATTGTCTTCGACTAGATAATATTCTTAATTCTAAGTTTGGTTATAGGTTAATTCACTCTAAAATTAAACATAATAGAATTTAATTAATTATTCAGATTGTACAATTTGGTATGTTATATTATATGGAAAATGGAGACAACACATGCAGGTTATAGCGTCATCTCAATTAAAAATGTTTAAGATTCCTAGGATCCCCAAATTTCTATAATTTTATGTGATGAACACCTATTGAAGGTTTCTTCCGTCAAATTATTAGATTATTAACACAATATATTATATTTATTGCTATGGGTGGGAGGAGAGAGATAACAAACCAGTACCTAGAATGTTACTAAATTTCTCTTATAAACCTGTCTCAGAAACTTCAACATACAAATAAATGGACATGTCTATCGCCTAGATGTTTTTGGTGTAATAGGACATTTCCCCCTTCCCTTTTTTTTAAATCTACTACTTAATAATAATATATTATTTGTCATTAAATATAAAATTATTATTTCTAACATCTATTTATTTGTTTGTAAAAACTACCAGTTAAACTAAAAAAAAATAATTAATAATATTTAAAAAGTTAAATAAAAATATAACTGAACTATTTGAACGATAAAAATATAATTTTAACTAGCTATTATAGATTAAAATTATAGTATATTCAAGCATGAGAATACCAACATATAATGTATGTAAATAACAGTGACATTATTATACGGTACAAATATGGCATATAAACTACTTCATAAGATATCTGGTGGTGAAATTTAATCACAATGCATCACTAAGAACCTAAAATATATATAATATCTCCTACTCATAAAGTGTTTGGTGAACAATAAATAATTACTGTATCACATATTTACATTAACATATAATAGTATGACTAAGTATTTACCCTTTTATATTAAATAATGATTATTTTCTGGTCAACAAAAAACCCACAGAGTTCTATACTACTTCTCTATTAACATAGAAGTCTGTGAAAAAATCATAGTAATTAAATCACAATTTTGAATTTATTTAAGACTGGTACTATCTTCTTGCGAACACCACAATAAAAATTACGATTTATTAATCCAATTAATTAAGCACTATTAGGTTCACATATTATTAGGCTTTAGAGCATCAATATAAAATAAAATAATAACTGATAATAGATGACAACTATTGTTATCAGGCATTAGTTATCACTTATTATATTTGGTTGTTATCTATTTTTTAAGTCATGCACATGCGGTTGTTTAGTGTTGAGGTGGGGTACAAAAGGTTAAAATGATTAAACACTATGATTACCGACACAATCGAATATAATATTATATTTAGGTAAAATAAAGACGTACACAGACAATGCAATGAATTACWACGAAAAAACGTTAATGTGTGTGACGCGAACAATAAACAAAAAAGAATAGGACCGGAAATGGTGAGACGCTGAGAGCGAGGGAACTCGGAGAACTGACTGCGGCAGCGCCCCGCGGGACGTAAACACTGGCGTTGTAGTTCGGTGATGCACCTGTAGGTCACCTGTCGCATTGATGTGGGACAAGTGTCACCACACCACGTATACTGTAGTAAAGTTATTTTGGGTATTACTAAAACCCGGGACGGGACGGGACCGATTCCATTTTAAACGGTGATATGAAACAGTGTGGCCCGCACAAACCGGGCTAAAATATTATTATCCCAGTACTCATAACTTACTCAATAYATTATATTATTATAACATAATAGAATAATACTGTAATATTATTTATTTACATAATTTAAAACGTACATTAAATAAATATAATATAATAATATAATATTATAATATTAACCCCTAATAATGTGTCCTAAATTAGCAAAAAAATAATTATATCCAGGCGCGGGAAAATGTAAACTGGGCCCGCAATTATTTTTTTTTATTGAAAACTCAGGTAAAAAATGTCCGTTGTAATCTCGGCCCGATAATATATAATAAGCACGACATAATTTAATTTAAAAAAAATAACTCTTAGATAGAACACTTACAAAATATAAAAATAAAAAAATATCAGTGAGTGAATACATCATTCAATAACAATAATATTGATATTACAACAACACAATTGAATAGTATTGTTGATGTAGTAGAAAACCAATGTCTTGTATGACACAGATGAAAATAATATTAATAATATTATATTGAATGAAGGAATTAATAAATGTCCAATATTGATAAATAATTCTCAAAGTGATATCATAAGTGGAGCAATTGAAAACCCAATTTTATCAGAATCTGAAATTGATACTTAAAACAACCTGGATGTACAGTTAAATGATGGACTAAGACAAGTGAAACACCAATCCCAAAAAAATAGGTTAGCTGGAAAGGAATGTTTTGGTTTTAAAATGGTGGATGGAAAAATTTCTCAAAGTGTTCCTATAGGAAAAAGAGTAATAAAGGATA